TTGGCTGGATCTTTATATAATTATTGCGAGGAGTCTGCTTTCCACGGTCGCGCGGTATGAGAGAACTTATCCGGTGCAACAACCCTTTACCGAGACGCCAGAGCTTCGTGATGTATCGTCGAAGGCGCGTCAAAAAATCGGTGCGCGAATCGATCGGAGCGACCCGTTACGTAAAAAGGGATCCCCAGACGGCGTGACGACGACGCGCGTCACGGACGGAATTGATTTATCGATCATCCCGCACGCTTGCGCGCGAGCGCGCGCGGAATGGTCCGGGCGGAACGGAATATCCTCGGCGCCGTTTCTCACGAGCCGTGAACGCGAAGCACCGGCGGAAACCGCCGGCGGACCTCGGCGACGTTCCCAGCGGTCAGCGCAGGATACGCCGCGATGCGGGTGCGACGGCCACGGACGGTTTCGAGAGCACGAGCGCTCGGCTAACGGTACGACGAAGATAAACGCGCGGGCCAAACGGCGGAGACCGAGAAACCTCGGCAACAGAGACGGCGAGCAGGAGCGACAGGAGGTGAGAGAGACGCTCGGCAAAGCGAGGGAGTGATAGTGGACAGGGGGTGGGGTGGGTTGGATCTGGGTGGGGTGAGAGGAGAGGCTCAGGGAGAGAAGAGAGGTTCGAGGAAGGACGGTATTGCGTGTTCGCGGAGGGTGCGAGGGTGGCGAGGGGGTGGGGTGGCCGATGGGGAAAGGCGTGCGGGGGTGCAGTCGTGTGCAGGTGCACAGGAGAGGATCCGCGTACGGGCGGGTGAGTTGTGCGTACCAATCGCGGGTACAGAGTACGTCCGCAGGCACGCAGGAGGAGGCGAAAACCGGGCACAGCCCCAGAAGCGCGGAGGCTTCCGCCATACGGGGCAAAACCACCCCACGCCGGACCCGGGAACCGGTGCGCGTCTGGTTGCGCTGGGTGGCGGGTGCACTATCGGGTGGCGCGCGAAAAGGGGGTTCAACCCGACTCGACTGTGTCGAGAGGGCGAGGGAGAAACTGCACGGACGACAGAGACGGAGAGGAAGAGGGAAATAGGGAGGGAAAGGGGGTGAGAGAGAGAGAGAGAGAGAGAGAGAGAGAGAGAGAGAGAGAGAGAGAGGGAAGGAGGGAGAGAGAGAGAGGGAAGGAGAGAGAGAGAGAGAGGGAAGGAGGGAGAGAGAGAGAGGGAAGGAGGGGGAGAGGGAGAGACAGAGAGAGAGAGAGAGAGAGAGAGAGAGAGAGAGAGAGAGAGAGAGAGAGAGAGAGAGAGAGAGAGAGAGAGAGAGAGAGAGAAATCGCAGGAGAGAGGAGGAAGCGGAGAACACGTCAGTCGGGGGTGAACGAAGGGGGTGTGAGAGGAAAAGCTAGAGAGGAGCGGCAGGGTGGCGGCGGCAGCGGCGGCAGCAGCGGCGGCAACGGCGGCGGCGACGGCGGCGATTCTCGGGTGGTGTCGTGGAGTGGAGGTAGACGAGAAGGCGGCGGCGGCGGCGGCGGCGGCGGCGGCGGTGGCGGCGGCGAACATAAAATCTCTCGCACATGCCTGGTGCATTCATTAGGGGGGATGTGCCCGTGCAGCGTACACGTCGACCTGCATCCACGCCACCCTCTCTCGCTCTGTCGGTGCCACCCCTGGCCTCAGTCGCGCTCCGCGGCCAACTTGGTGCACACGCCACTCCGTTGGTCCTCCCAGGCGGGCTCGCTCGCAACGTTCCTCACTGCGCCGTGACCGTCCGTCGTCGACGTTGCATCTCGTGTCGCGCGCGCGCGCGCGCGCCACCCTCTCTCTATATCAGCCGCGATTGACCGACAACGACGAGGAGGCGCGAGTTACCGCGTTTTCAAGAAAGAGAAAAAGAGACAGAGACATAGATCTCGCTGTGATCCCCGCACGCGTGTCGCACGCGCCTCCACGCGCCATCCTTCGCTTTGATCCCCCGGATCTTCCATCGCGTCGATCGCGAATTACACGCGCGAACCGCGCACGATGGCCGACGCGAGCTGAGTGGAGACACACGGCGCGAGCCGATGGCACCGGCATTACCGCGAGTATAAACGAGTATACGAGTGCGAGTTTCATCCTGTAATCCGGGAGTGCGCGACAAAGTAAACACAATCAGCGCGGAAGACTTTCGGAGGGACCAGAGCGCGAGCAGCGGAGGCTCTCGGCCTTGTCGGCTAGGGCGGAAGCGGCGGAACAGACAGTCTCGTCTGCGTGTCGTCCGTTGGAAGATCACCAGCGGAAGATCGTCCAGCCAGACAGCCAGTCGGCCAGCCAACTAAACAAACACGTACACACACACACGCGCGCGCACACACACACACACACACGCACATACATACAGACATCCCGCAAGCAGCCCCGAAGAGGATCACGCAAGACGACGACACGGCCCTACGCGCCGCCGGCTGCGGGTGGCCGACGAGATTTCATGTTCACGAATTTCAGTAAACCAGGTAACAATATGCCAGAGAGCCGGCGGCGAAAGTCAGCCTTCGCGCGCGCGAATCGTCGCGAAATCGGCATCGCCGACGCCGGGCATTCGTCGCCGTGGCGGGACGCGCCGCGCTCACGCGTCACCCTCGCGCCGCGAGATCGGGAAAGGGCGGGAACGGCGCGGCGACTCGGTCGGATTTATCGATCGCTCGATCGACGGCACGCGCGTTACCGCCGACGAGCTTCCACGGCGGTGCGCGGTAGCGAAGAAATGCGAGAGATGGGTAGCGTCGTGCGTCACGTCGCGTCACGTCGCGCCCGAAATTGCTCGTCGCGAAGAGCTGTCACTCGCGCTCGTTTCCGCTCCGCAACCCTCGCGGAGGAGGAGAAGACGAGCGAATAAATTTGCATGGACGAGAGAAGCGGCCCGTAATACATTCACCCGGACCGTCTGTCGCGCATCGTGTAAATAAACCGAATCGACGCGGCACGTCGCGCGGAAAGTTCGACGTGAATGCGAAACTCGGCCCGTCGTCGGCATAATCGCCGTCGACCCGAGGAACATCGTCGACGGAAGTTGAGCGGGGGAGATCGTGCGCCGAGGGGCAGGACGATGACGAGGACGCGTATTTTCATTCGCGACTATGGTCGGTGGATCGTCGCGCGCGAATCATCAGTGCCGAATATTTGAATAGCGCGAACCGTCGCGATAATCCGCTCTGTCAAGTCCGGGCGTGTTAATCTGCGCGAAACCGAATGAAACACAAGTGGACTCATTAGTGGGGAAAAATGCGCGATAATGTATGCTGATTCTGCGGAGAGAAATGTACATGTGTGTATATATATATATATATATATATATATATATATTGCGTGTACGTATGCATAGAGAAAGAGAGAGAGAGAGAGAGAGAGTCACGGGCGCTGCGTAGGCAGGTGCAAGAATGCGGTTATTTGCGGAGAGGGACCGCGCGGTCGCATTCGAATTTCCATATTTTCGCTATTCGTTTGCACGGTATTATTACTGGGCTTGCAGTAAAAGGTTGCATGCTATTTCCGATGAAATATACCGCACTTTCGAGAGACGTGCCTCGCGAGGTTGGTCTTATCTCGCGTCTTCTTTGTTTCTTTTCCCTCTCTGTTTCGTACAAGCCCGGCCGATTGATAAAATAGAATTTTACGTAGCGATAGGGCGCAAAAATTTAATATCTCGGATATAAATTTTGTTTCTGCATCCCCGTCCGTAATAAATGGTCGCTACATTCCGCGAAATATGTCGCGTTCTCGAGAAACTCATCTCGCGGATATGTCTCTGCTCGTCGTCTTTTATCGGAGAGAAGGAAACGCAAATTTGATAAAGTGGCGCTTCATTGAGAGGAACGATTCATGAGACAATTTGCGCGAGCCGGTAATCGATAAAGAGGGGAAAAGTATCTTGGCTAAGAATATATAAGTAGAGAGAGAGAGAGAGAGAGAGAGAGAGAGAGAGAGAGAGAGTTGCGCCAGACGTAATTAATATTCGTGTATTCAAAACGTTCGCATGTAAATAGACTTTTGTATAAAAATAAAAGAGTCGATATTTCGTGGGAATATCGTCAAGAGGCAATCTGGTCGGATCTAAATATCGGCTGGATTCGTTCCTAATGATGAATTACGCGCGCAGACCTTTCTATTTGAACGACGATTAGCGGCGCTCTTTTGGCGGAAAGTACAATATTTGACGATCAGTTCGCGCGCGATCGATCCCCCGCGATTAATTTCTGTGCGGATGTGTGCCCTCCCGCGGAGATAGTTACACAATTCATAGCGCATTAATTACGGAGCGCTGCCGGCCGCTTGCGAATGTTAAACCGACTAATTTCAACCTCGTATTTCAGCGTTAAACATTTTTTTTTTCACGCGCGTCGCGGCGTCGTACGCGTCTCCCGCACACACGTGGCAATGGTAGCGGTGACGGCGGGCGTTCTACGTCAAGCTTAATTTTTAATCTGCCACATAGCGCCGTAGAGAAATAATCCGCCGCTTATTATGCAAATTTAATCGCGCGTTTATCGCGAGGCGCGCTAATCACGGATAACTTTCCCGCTTAACTTCACCGCGCGGTTGCGTTTGTTCCTTTTTATTTCCGGCGCAACAAAGAGCGCCGGGCCGCTTTGTCTCCCCCGGCAGCGGATACGCCCGCTGTTTAATCTCCTCTGCGATCCTTCTCGACGCGACCATTATGCCATCCTCGACCGTCACCGTCGTCAACGACGAATATGTCGTCGTCGTCGTCGTCGTTGTCGTCGTCGTCGTCATGGTTGCGCGCGACTTTTAAGTTTGGGCACCGATTCAAGCGGCGCGCCCGATGCCAAACAACGCGTTCATTCAATCATCCAGGGGTAGAGACGATGGGCGTCTCGTGACGCGACCGCGTCGCGCCATCTTTCTTCCGGCACGCGGCGTCAGACACCCCTTCAACCCCTTCGTGCGAGCTCACGTTGGCGATTAGCGAGATTAGGTTTGCTCCAGAAGGAAAGAGGGAAAAATCGAGAGAGAGAGAGAGAGAGAGAGAGCGAGAGAGCGAGAGAGAGAGAGAGAGAGAGAGAAGGAGGAAGAGAAAAGGTAGAATGAGAGAAAAAGATCCGTCGGATCGCGATGAATTGATCCACGACGGCCTTGCACTAGGAGAGTGCCTCGAGCGCGAGGGTGTCGGAAAAATGACTCGGGGATTCGAGATCGATCCGAAGAGCAGGTAGAACTCGCGTGAACGACGAGCGAATAATTCTCCGTGATGGCTGCGGAGGAGAGACACGGAGCAGGTCCCGGGTGAGCCGGGAGTGCTCGAAAGTTTTCCGTCTCCCGTCACCTTCTCGCGGGCAGTTACTCGGGACGTCTCGAAGCGTTTCTATTATTCGGAGCGCCGCTCGGTCTCCCGAGTCATTTGGCGGATATTTCGGAGCTACTCGTACTCTCTCTCGTCTCTCTCGTCTCTCTCGTCTCTCTCGTCTCTCTCTCTCTCTCTCTCTCTCTCTCTCTCTCTCTTTCTCTGCGTCTCTCCGCGAGCACCGCGTCGCGTGGTGCACCCGCACGCAGGGTTGAAGGGTATTCGCCGACGGTGGCATTTGCTTCGCGAGAAACGTCGGCTTCGTTTGAAGATCCGGGCTCAAAGCACGCGCCGGTCCGCCCGCCTGCCCTTTCCCACCCGCGCGAGAGAGACCGCGCGCTTCGACTGCATTGTAGTCGGGAAAATGCACGCCCGAATGCAGCGGCGCGTCCTTTATCGGCGTGGGCGCGTCCTATATAGAGCTTTTCCGAGCGCTTCCATGTTATCGCTCGTGTTTGCGTCATGGACTCGAATTTCCAATCCCTAATCGATTCGCGGCGTCGGACGGAAATCTCGGGGAGAGACGCTGGCGTCTCTTTCTCTTCAGCGATGCGCGCTCGCTAGCGAGCTCACGACGATCGAACAGCGACGGCGAAGGGAGAGTTAGTGGTAGTAGAAACGTAGAACAGCAGGGACGAGAGAGAATCGAGTCACTTCTATTTTTTTACGCTCGGCCGGTCAGAGCGTGAGCGTCTCTATTTTTTCACGCCTCGCGAAACTGTACTTTGCTCAAGAAAAACCGCGGGCAAGAGCCCGCAGAGAGTTAAGATAGCCGATGATACCAAGCCGAGAGTTGTACGCGGCGTACCGCCGCCCTGACGACCCCCGTTCCGACGGGGTCGAGATTGTAAGTCGGGAGTCGGGAATCGAGATCGGAGACGCGCGTGTTCGCCGCGCACGCACAGCGCGCGAAGATGTCGACGCGCCGAAGATCTCCTGCGGGGTCGTCCGGAAGATGAGACACGACGTTAGCCGCGATGTGTCGCAACCTAGTAGCGAGGAGCGACGGCGTTTCCCGGCGCGCCGCAGCTGCGGCGCATCGATCGTCGATGCATTTCGACGGCTCGAGCGCGCTTTCGGCGTCGAAGGGCCAAGGTCGGCCGCCGCTTGATCGCGCGGATTGTCGCACCTCAATGCCCGCCGACGTCACACACAAGATGCACGCAGGATATACAGGTCTGTTTACCAGCGGAAATGAAAAGCTTTTATACTCCTTCAGCTTTTTATCCTTGTTTCTTGCGTGTTTGTTGCACGATTATGCTTGAGTGAGAAATCCTCCTCGAGGGTGTTCGAGCGAGGACTCTTGATCGAGGGCGGGATTTCGGTGTCGTTTGGACACGAAAGTAGAACGGATCAGGAGGCCCTTTCGGAGGAGCTTTCGCGACACGCTCGTGAATCGACGCAGGTTCGCGAGGGTGCGCGCGATAAATGGACAGGAGGCGGCGATGTTCGCCGACAAATTCGCGCAGCGTTCGCGCGTGACGTCGAGCGTGAATTATTTCGACGAGATCTCGGGGAATAAGTTTCCGTTATCTCATGCCGCTCGTCAGAAAAGCGCGAGCTGGAGGGGCGACGCATTCGTTACTTCTCGGATACCGTATTGTCTCGATTACGGGACAAGCTCGTTAGACAGCCGCGTCGCGCTCGCAGATTTGTCTAATGAAGAAGCGCGTGCTCTGGATAGGGCGTAATTACGTGGCCCTTGTTAAACTGCGTGCATATCGCATAAGACGAGCCGGCGCGGCGCGGCGAGGCGGCAGGAGTCTTTTGGCACGCGCGCGCCTAATTTAATAAATTCACGAGCGGACGCGAGCTGTAATTAAAAGATCCCTCATAATCGGGTTCGCAGTCGAGGTAATTAGCAGCCGCTGGATAGAGTCTGGTGTTTACGCATATCGCGACACAGGCCGCACGTCCGTGCGGCAGCAGCGCTGGCGGGATTTCTCGCTCGAATTCGAAATCCGCCTGTGCCGCAATTGCCGCGACAACGACGCGATAACCACTGCGGTATAACACCGCGGTGGGTTCGCACGTGATCGGTGCGGATCTAAAGATTTCGGCCACGGCGGCTTTCTCGTCGCAGCATCGGGTACGTGTCCGCGCGCTGAATTCCCCCTCGACTTTGGAGACTGCGCGCGGCGCGACGTCCTTTCTCTATCATCTCTTTTCCACGCTTGACCTCCGTTAACTCAGATATTTCGCTCGGTCGCGGTAGGTGGTTGAATATTTCCCGGAAACGGACGACGTTTCCACTGACGTAACACTGACTGATGCGCCGCTTGAAATTGTTACTCGGTCGTACATGCAGTTTCGTACATGCAACGTAATACATATGCACATGTGCCGTCCTTGTGATGTTCCGGGAGCTCTTTAAGCGCGATATTGTTCGCGGTGCCTTTTGCCAGCCGAAGTGGGTAAACAGGCACGCGCGGTACATTCGCCGTTCTGTGTGATTAATCTCTCATTTAAAGGAAAGCGGGAAATTACGAGGCGGAACTAGGTGCAATCAGGACATGTCCGACATGGGAGAAATCCTCTTGCCCGGGTTGGACCGACCGATAAGGGGACGTCTCGAGGCAGAAACGGGAAACACGAATGTAGGAGACGAATATATATATATATATATCGTGCAGCACGCTTCTCGCAACAATTTCGCGGATGCGGTCAATTGGTGAATGTGCCTCAGACCTTCGATATATAATATACTGCGATACTGCGTAATCGTGAGGGAGGAGAGCGCGAACGAGAAGAGACACGGAACTCTCCGCTCGCGCGTCGCGTTTATCGCGTTTCATCAATGCTATTTTCTAATATTTGTCGCATCTGTATCACGCCCGCGGCACGGGGCATGTGCTCGCGCTAATCGTAATCTCCAGCGACCAACGGTAACGATCGAGTGATGTGTGTACGGGGGATTTTATTTATTGCATTTCTATCTTTGAGCGGGACGCGCGCTCGCGAATCATAATTTCCAGCGATGCCGCTGAAAGCGCGGATTAAATCTGTTAACAGCCGTTCAAAGCTTGTAAATCCGCGTTGGAAACCTCGGTTGAGGAGATTTTCCAATTTTCCCCCGGTACCTATTGATTTCGCGCGGGTAACACGATTATCGTTCCGGGGTAGGGGCAGGGCGAGAGAGAGAGAGAGAGAGAGAGAGAGAGAGAGAGAGAGAGAGAGAAAGAGAGAGCGAGCGAGTGAGTGAGAGGGAGAGAAAGCACGCGGGGGAGAGGTCAAATTAATATCAGAAACTCCGCGATTTGCGCGAATTACCGTTTATTACCGCCAAATGAAGCTAAAGGGTCTCCATGTGCACCGCAATTTTCCGCGAAATGGAACTCGAATGGAAAACGCGCTTGGGCGAGTCGCGTTAACGCGGCCGGAGGATCTCGCGGAATTTTCGCTTTAATGTATAGAGCGCTGTTCGACCGAGTATACAGCTTTTTTAGTAATCATGACTGGGGGACCGGAGAAATCGAGGGGGTAAGTCGTCGGGGGAGAGATACACGCGCGCGCGCACGATTTTTCTCGCGTTGTTAAGCTCGCGCTTAACCGAATGGATAAAAACGTGAGAATATATCCATTTTACACGGCTCGCCTGTATCTCCGTGGCCTGGTATTTACGCGAATATAAGCCGCGCGCGCTCTCGAAGGTCTCGCGAATTTAATCCGCATTTTCTCCCGCGACGAGAGTTCCGCGGAATCTCTTCTCTCTCTTGCGTTTGGTGAGGCGAAGCGGAGGAAAAAAGTAACAATCAGCACCGAAGCGATTTTACTTCCCTTCGTGCTTTAAACACGGCTGTACTTTTTCATACACGTCGTCGTACAGGGTGAAGTGAGGTAAATGAGAGAAAGAGCAAAGGGACACGGAAAAAAAGCGAGTCGCGTATTTTATGAGCGAACTTTTCAGAAGCTCCATTGCGAAATGAAACGCTCAGAAAAATCGGTAGAAATTCACATTGATATTAATAAAACCGCATTCGGTATCCGCGCGATAGAAATTTGTCAATTGGATGTCCGGTTTGTACGATTTGTTTGGATCGCAAAGGGAATATTCATTCGTTCCTAAATGCCAAGTGTGTTCCAACACACGTCCATTTAACTTCTTACCGCAAGCTGAGCTTTGTAATGAACGTATACGTTAAATTAGATGCCGCCGTACCGCAGCGCGAGAGAATAGGCGAAATTAAGTTATTGTATTGAGGGGCCGTCCGAAAATCCACCAACTCGGAATACAGAGCAACCGCTTTATTTACTCAGTGTGTTGCGTGTTGCTGAAATCCTAGCAGAACTTTTACATTACTTAGGAAGAGTACGATTTGTATCATAGTTATCGCTGTTTGCATGATGGAAACAAGATAAAGGCGTTTATCTTAATCTCTCACCGATTTTCGCGAATACTCGCTTAAGCTCGATAAATGAATTGGCTGCGCTTCGTGCGCTTACTGCGAAATCATGCACTAATGATAGAGAGAAAGTTGATTGTTCCTTAAAAATTGATCGTAGCCAACGAGAGAGGAATTATTATATATCTTATATTTTTTTTTGTGAAAGAGAAATTTATATTATTTTTTAATTGCTATTGAGATATATTTACGTATCGTACGTTTTGATATTTTCCTTCGACAAATAAATCAGCTGTTTCGTGCAAAAGTTACAAAAAATGCCTAAATGTTCGTAACGAATCTCGATTTCGGCCGCTTTCTAAAATTGTTTATATCTCGGGGCTCTATAAACTTTATTGTATCGTTATAATTTCGCTTAGAATTCAAACCTAGACCTTGTCTTCGACATTACGTATTGATATTCCTGTGTAGAAAAACCGCGAACGTTGAGTTTGAGCGCATATTGTCTCTACATAATCGCGATTTCTTATACACGGACCTGAGTCCCGTGTCTATCGGGAATAAGTTAGATAAAACATCAAAGACAAGAGAAGACAAAATTGACACGACTTCTTCCTCGACTTTCGGCGAGACTTCTTGCACCACGTCTTGTAATAGCGCTTTTCGGTGGAATAACTGTCGGGTGCCAGTTAAACTTTTGTTTATTAAATTAGAGTTTTTGTTTAACGTGACGGCAGTCAATCGCCTCCCTTCGCTTCTTCTTTAAAAATTGCGTTTACGTTGCGAACACTAAAACATAATTGTAAATAACGTTTACAGACATTTGCATTGGCAAATTAAGCCAACCTAAAATTTTTTATTCAAATATATTTGTGCTTCGTAGACTTTTATATTCTTTAGCAAAAGATAACGCTTTACAAAATGACTGAAGATATCTTCGATTTCTCGTTCAAACTCGGAAAGATAAAATTTAACATTTCGTTCGAAAAAGAGATGCACATGAGACCTTGAGAAACGTCTGACGACACACGCGCGCACATTTTACATAAAAATTTCACTCCACGGAAGCTATTAATTACGACAAGTAAGAAAAATATGTCGATATAACGCGCGACATACCGTACGGCGATTTGAATTGAGCGCTTCGCGCGCCATAACGCGTGGCTGATGTGCGAAAGTACGTATTATTTGGGAAATATAAGAGAGGCGGCATCGCGGATCGATATGGCGGTGAGCGTGGAGTAAATTGTCCGTATTCTCGCGTGATATATAGAGAACCGCGGGAATGTCGCGGTATCGCGCAGGACGCAGCATTTCACTCGCAGTCCGGGCGAGCACGCGGTCGGCTCTTAACCGCGTTTGAATCGGAGCGCCCTTCGCGCCATTCCCCGCGGCAGATGCACGAAGGTCAGAAGTATTTTAAAAATAAGGCCGTAGGCATTGGCAGATTGGTATGGCAGTGGACGTTAAGGGTCGGGTGGCGTTGTAATGGCAAAAAGTTTGCGAAAGGTGAGTAATCGACGTGTGCGATCGGGAATACGTATCGGACGGTGCGTGGTGTGCAGCGCGTAACTCGCGGTGTGTTCGCGTAAATAAAACGGTGCGGCTAGGCTAGTACGAGTGGTTAGAAATCCGGGCATCAACAAATTGAGTTTTCGCGAGGAGGCTCGTGGAGGCTAGACGAGCACGGCCGACAATGGCGCCCAAGCCTCGCGAATATTGACATTGCCGAAAACATTACCTCCGAATATATCGGATTATTATCGTATACGTGGGTGGCACATACTGCGTCGCAATTAGCGGTCTAACCTCGCGACTACCGTGTCGTGGCTTATCGCGTAGAAATCCGGCGCGGGTTAGCTCGGTCGAGCGCTGAGGTTATGCGAAAAAATGTTTTCGGCACGTATAGTAGCTCGGCGTGAACCCTGAAGGGTTTTACAGTTATACTGCAATGTGGCACATTTGCAGAAGCACGGAGGACGTTGTGTGGGTCTAGAGTCGCGATTTAATCTGCGGGGAGATATTGTCAGGGCGATAGGAGAGTGCGCGTGGAAGCAGTGTGTGAGTTAGCGATTTAAGGGTTAGGGAGGCATTCAAGTAGCCAGGGTGAGCATAGTTTTATGTAGACAGTTCAGGGCATCTAGTTTGGTTGTAGGGTCGGGATTGGAGATAGACAAGATGGACCAGCAGTATTGCCTACGGTGGAACAATCATCCAGCCAACCTTACAGACGTTCTCAGCTCACTGCTTGAAAGAGAAGCACTCTGTGATGTGACCCTGGCCTGTGTTGGAGACACATTCAAAGCACACCAGACGATACTCTCTGCATGCAGTCCGTATTTTGAGAGCATTTTCCTACAGAACACCCATCCCCATCCAATCATATTCCTCAAGGATGTGAATGACAAGGAGATGAGGGCACTGCTGCACTTCATGTACAAGGGCGAAGTTAACGTTAGTCAGCATCTGCTACCGATGTTCCTTAAAACAGCAGAGGCATTGCAGATCAGAGGCCTCACTGATAATAGTGTAAATAACAAGACGGAGGAAAAGAGTCCGTCACCAGAGCCAGAAACACAAACCGGAGTCAGACATACTGATTCGCCTAACCTCCAGTCTCATCCTGAGAAAAGGAAAAGAAAACTTTCAGGCAGCTACGATGTTTCTCTTACTGGCCCACCTAGTGAACGGTTCTTATCTGATTCTCAGGTATGTAAATATCATTTGTTCCTATTGTTTTGCCATTGTATCACGGAATAGATGGCATATGTCTCATTTCACTTTCTTTTTTCAACTCTTTTGATCTACGCATATTCAACATGTTTCACGCATGTGTTATTTGATATGGATATTTGATATGGAAATTATCAAAATTTTATATATATTCTTTAATGATATATTTTACTCAATCGAGACAAATCATTCAGAAACAAACGATATAGTGTACTTTTCCTTTTAAATTTATATAAGTATAACTATATATCTGGTAAGCATTTTCTTTAAATTGTTTGTTTATTTTACAAAGAATTTTTATTTTACTTGTCATTATGTTTGCTATTGTCGAATAATATATACTGGGAACTTGCACTTGAAACTCGTGCTATGACTCGAGACTGTTTGTTTATGATGTTATACATTATTATCAATGTATTACCTGGGTGCATGATTGCACAGCTTTTCAAACAACTTTTCTTGTAACCTTGAAGCTTAGAGCTAATACCTGTCATGCAATTTATGAGACAGATGTTATTATAATATGCTTTCAATTTTTTTTAATATATTTTTCAAGGAAAAATTACACATGCACATGCACGCCAGAAGGAAGGATATATATGATCCATCTGCTTCGCAACATGTCCGATATAACCTTGAAGGCATTGCTTTAGTTGCTTGATACAATTTTATCAGAATAAAATTCATCAATTTATTTTCCTTTATAAGTAATTCATTAATTTACGTTCTTTTTTAACAAAAAGGTCTCATAATCAGATGTGCTAATAAACTGAAGCAAAGGTGATGATATTTTGGAAGGTTAGAGAAAAGTTTCCGATTGACTGATTTCAGACATCCTCGCAGTGTAGTTACAAATCAAGTCCTCCTGTGATTCCAAAGCTAAATAATGCCCTGGGAGTTGATATGGAAGATGGTGGTCGACCCATGTCCCCTGCATCACAACCGCAGGCTCCTATAAAACAAGAGGTGGATCACCACTTGCCTGACTTCCATGACAATATTTCCCTCCCTGTAAGTAACTTTCTATGTTTATGTATTTTACATTTCCATGTTAACTGTGTTTTTCGTTTCATACATTTGTAATTTTCTACATGTATTTTGTTCCATTTTTTCCTCATAGATTATACACTTTTTACGTAAAATACTAACTTTGTTTCAATTTTATGAATTTTGCATGTTCTGTGTTATCGCATGTGATACAATGTACATATTTTTCATTTCTCCTGATACACTAATTATAGATATTCCAACGTATTTAGAATTACATTATTGATGCAGTTATGGGGAAACTGTGTCATTCTATGTTTGTACTTACTATGATGGTACAATAAAGATAAGAGTAACCGTTTATTTTTATTTTGGAAATTACATAGAGTACATGAGTCACAAAGTATTTTTGTCGTTTATGCTACATTAGGGACTCTAAGGCATCTCCCTAGAATTTTCTGAATGAAATAAACATATATTACATGCAACGTTCCATGTGTGCATGATTCCTGTGCAATATAACATTTCAGTGTATATATGAAAAAGAAAAAAGAGAGTGAGAGAGAGAGAGAGAGAGAGAGAGAGAGAGAGAGAGAGAGAGAAAGAGAAAGTGATATATGTCGATTTACATTGATTCGAAAATGATACACGTATATGTACTGCTTTTGTGGTGCGAGTTATTGTGCAACAAGGCATCTTGTTGCAGTACGTTTTATTCCCGCATGTTGCTCCGATGCTGTGTGTTGATTAAGATACTTTCTTCTTTCTGCTCGCATATTTTACCCAAAGGCGCCACACGCTTCATGCTTTATAAGGCGCTTCACACATTCTTGAAAGAGATGCGATGTCGCGATATCGCGGAGACAATTTTTTTTCGTAACAGAGTTTCGTTACTGTTCCCACGATTGAAGACGAATTACTTACCGTCGTCCTACAAACTACTCAGTCAGAACAGACATGGGAAGGAAGGGATTTTCTAATTAGAGATTACGGAATTGGCTTTTCGTACGCTAAAAGAGATTCGGCCGAGATGTGTTGATTAAACACATATCCTTTCCTTCTCTGTTGACAGACTAGTATGGAGTGGGAAGTTCAGAAAAATGGGAAGAGTGACGAAACTGTGGATGTACAGAACATGACTCCCAATCGTCCAGATACGGCTGTGGTGCAAGTTTCTCGCGAAAGTGCCGTCATGGCTGGAGGTTCTCTCTGTATCAATATGTCAGGGACTGCGCCTGAATTCTCCCGGAATTCTTATAATCGGCTACAGAGTCAGGTCGCACCCGCGAACTCGCACCACTCGTATAAAAACGAAAATGTTGATCTGATGAAATCTTACGAGCTGTTGCCCGAATGCGGGCCACATGTTAAAACGCCTGAAAGTGACGCGCATAGATCATTGAGAGCGAATCATGAATCAGGAATATCTGTAATTCAATCGACCTTGTGCGCGACCTTGCAGCGCCCCGCTACGCAAAGTACCCGCAAAGTTGGTAGATTCAAGCCCGGTTGGTTAGATATATATTCATGGTTGCAATATGACGAACGACTGAATCTTATGTTTTGCAAATACTGCAGAAAATGGAGCGAATCCATACCGGAGATTCGCACTTCTTTCGCCGCGGGTAACGGCAATTTTAGACTCGAGATCGTGAACCACCACGACAAATGTAAAGCGCATAATCTGTGCGTAACTAAGGAGAGCGAGGCGAAAGAGAGTTACGCTTACACGACGAAGACGTGCTAGCTCATCCATGTTTCACATGTCACGTCTTACTCGTGCCTACCGAACTTGTGATCGATTTTGTTCATTTAAATAGAAAAAAAGAAAGAAAAAAAAATATAAATATAATAAACGATTTGCAAAATAATAATATTGTACATTTGTTTAATCGTACAATTTGTACATTTAAATAATATGTATGAGAAAATTGATAATATATTCTTATGGTCTCGACATTTGCACAATTATAAGATAAACGAAACGAAATATATTTTGTATTTGATATCTTTAATGTCTTTACTTACGATAAGATGAAATATTTTTGAAACGGAATTGCACACAGGAAAACTATATTTGTTGCATTTCGTAAAGAGGATGTATACATGTATGTATAATTATACATGTTAGATTATTTAATACATGATAAAGAAAAAGGGAGATGCCAAAGCGCACATCGTTTGAAATTGCGATGTTGCTCCACAAAGAGTTTATATATATATAATGAAGAGAAGTAAATTACCTCACACACGAAATTAAGGATTAGCATTTATTTAAATGTGTGCATTCGTTTGAATGTGTGAAGAAAACTTATTCGTTTAAAACGCGTTCTCTCTCGCGTTTGTTTTCTTAATTAAAGGAAGCTACATGTAAAATATATAAATCGAGGATTAAATACTATGTACAAACATGTGTATAAATTGGAAGCAAATATATATATATATAGTTTCGATGCATCTCCGTTCTATTTTTAATTTAATTTCAAGACGCTATCAGAGAAGAAGCATGTTGTGTGAGGATCCAAATAACCGGAATATACAGTTTTAAAAATCTAAGAGAAATATATGAAAGCAGAAAAAGGGAAAAACAACACAACAATACACAAAACATGCATCGGCTTTGCCGTTGTTATCGTTCGCTTATTTATAAATGTGTGATCGTATCATGCGCAGGGTCATCCAGTTGGACTGATAGGAGAAGACGGAGGACCGACGGCGGGTGCGCTCAGCGATGGTGTTCAGGGGATTGAGTCATCTGAGCACCATAATCCACCGGAGATGCTCGACGGACTTGATGGTAAGACTGCACAATATATTCTTTACAACCAAAATTTCATTTAGATCTAACATATTTCCTTTTTGCCAACTCGCACCGAGCCGTTCTGCTCCACGAGTAATCTCGCATGTATCGTGTGTGTGTGTGTGTATGTGTGTGTGTACGCGCGCGCGTGAAAACGTTAAATATACGATGACGATGCATTCATACTTTATGTCGCACGGATACGTTTGAACGACATCGGTTTCAATGTTGCGCGCGTCGTGGACAAATTGCGACGGCACAGACTTTTCTGCGACGCGTTACTTCGCGTTAGATCCGGCCGCAAAGTATTGCGATCTCCGATGATCTCCTCCTCGCGCGCACGTGTGATACGATATCTCCTTCGCATATTTCAATCGCGCGGGAAATATGTTACATCTAAGAAATCGAGGGAGATCTGCATGCACGTTTGCAAGAGTTTTAACGTCACGTCGAGTCGTACGTAGGTGTCGTACGAAACGAGCATCCCTCTATTTCCAAATCTGATCAAGTGTAGTGAGTATAACATTAGAAAGTGAAAGACCTTCTCTTCCATGTACATGTATATGTGTACAGGCGCATATATATATATATATATACACATACATATACATATACATATATATATGTATACGCGCGCATACTGGCGCACACGTGTGTGCGTGCATATATATATATTTCTAACTACATATGTATATTACATGAACCCTTGGTGTTGTGGTGATGGTATCGTGCATTTGCTACGTCATTGTGGTAGTTTTAATTACGTGTGTAATATATTATATATATATATATATATACATACATGTGTGTGTGTGTATATATATATATATATATACAGAATACATATCTCTATATATATATAACAAAACTCGTTGGTTTGGGTCATGGTATATATCAGCAAATGGACTGTACTCCTAATTCTCTATTTTTTTTCTCTTCTATATATTTTTTTTGTGTCCAAAATATTGCGATGGTGTGTGGGTTGCGCGTGTGCGACTGGCTGAGTTCATCTCACTGTTCTGATACGTGCGCGGACGCGTACGTGCATATGTGCGTGATGTCACACTTTTTAACGAACTCTACATTGTGCGAATGTGCGTGAGAATGTATCGTTGGTTTCGGTACGTGTGTGTGTGTGTGTGTGTGTGTGTGTGTGTGTGTGTGTGTGTGTGTGTGTGTGTATGTGTGCGTGCGTGCGTGCGTGCGTGTAGTGTGTGTATGTTGGTATGCGCGTACGTATGTGAGACGACGTGTACATAACGTTATATCATATTATACATATAGACACTACAGCATATATACGTATGCTGCGCGCACGTGTGCACATATGCATATATGCGCGCTACCACGGCGGGATTCTCTGTGCATGTCTTCGCACTGGTTCTTTCTTTATTTTTTTTTCTTTTTTACTTGTTACCTCTCTCTATTTTTTTTCTCTATACCCTCTCTTATGTATACCCTCTGCCCGTATTTTGCGTATTTTGCCCGTATTTATCACTGTGTCTATAGCGATCTTGTGATCTTACATTCTCACGTCTCTCTTTGCGCTGTTCGTTTTGATCTGCACGAAATGAACGAGAATATTAGCAAGAGAAATGCAGCCGGTGCATCTCCGGTCGTTGCGCAATCCGTCGTTGCGTTAATAAAGTTGCTGCGCCGCGGGAGGAATTCGTTACGTAAGACATTTTCCATATACACGTTTCGCGATTACTACAATGGTCGAGATGAATATGGATGCTAGCTAAACGCGATTATTATTCAAGCATGGCGAATCCAAGGAACCGACAGTTTTCAACGTCCGTCGTTCTAGAGACGGCATTCGAGATTTGTTCGGAATCTAGCGTAGCTAGGTTTCTCTCTTGATTGGAGATTCGAAAATTTTAAGATCGAGAAATTTCATCGAAATTTGGGATTCGTGGATCCGCGCGTTCTAGCTGCGCTATTAGTTTGTTGACAGTATCAGCGAAATGAAGTTTTAGATAGATTCGAAAGTTTGAATATTCTTACTACAAACTAGATATTCTTCGTCGTTAGCATTATTAATATACCACGCTGATAGTCACATGACTCTCTTATCTGCTGCGCATCGTCGATGCATTAATAATAGTCACAATAATAATCGCCAGTAGCAGAAGAGCTCGTAACCTTGGGCACTCTTTTTTCCTGCTAACGATTACATCCGAAGCTGAGAGAGATATATGCGCGATTAAACACTCATTAATTCTATTTTGTTGCTAACGCCATTTTCCGTTTATCTATTCTCGACCTCGTAGCGATCTCGTCATCGTTGCCGCCGTCGTTTTCTTCGTCTTTGTCGTTGTCGTCGTCGCCGCCATCATCATCATTGCGAATGTCATCGTCGTCGTCGTCGTCGTCGTCATTTTCGTCGTTTTCGTCGTCGTCGTCGTCGTCGTCGTCGTCGTTTTCGTCGTCGTTCGGTTATATACTTCAGTCAGCTGAAATGTTGCATGAGCTGCATCGTTATTGCAACGGTCGCGGCACGTACGCGTTCGATCTGCGATGGATTAATTTACGCATGGGCGGTGTTTAAGAATTGGGAACAAAGTCGATAGTCCGTATTCGCGATGTTTACCGTTTATACCAAACGTGCAGACATCGACGAGTCTCTCTCTCTCTCTCTCTCTCTCTCTCTCTCCCCCCCCCTCTCCCCCTCTCTATCTCTCTCCTCCCTCTCTCTCTTTCTTTCTCTCTATTTCTCGTGGAGGTTCTCCCTGCGTTGAGAATATTTTTTTTTTCCGTTTGGGTTTCTTCTTTTACTTGTTCTTCGTGGTTTGAATTTCTTTCTCTTTCTCTTTTCTTCTTATTCTTCTTTTTTCTGTACGTATTGTGCCAGCATCTTTAGTCTTTTGGAACGCGATGAGATGACAGTAGAAATACGCTTTTTTTTATTTAGTAATTGACATTTGGTACGAGTAGGTAAATTAGAAATTAAGATACTACAGGGCGATGTCCTTTTGGAATTAATCGATTTTTTGTCTTGTTTCAATAGATGCGGATAAATCGCGACTTTTCGTTTCATTGAGTTCTCACACGTCCTTGAGTCTATTTTTTTTTCTTGGTTTGTTTTTACGTGTATATACTTTATTCCTTTCGGTAAGTGTAGAGCTCTTCCTCTCTCTCTCTCTCTCTCTCTCTCTCTCTCTCTCTCTCTCTCTCTCTCGCTCTCTCTCTCTCGCTCTCTCTCTCTTTCTCTCTCTCTCTCTCTCTCTCTCTCTCTCTCCGACGCTTATGAGAACAAGAGAGAAAATCATATAGTTCCATGCAAGTACGTTACCCTGTAATAAGGACAAGTGTGGTGTTCGTAATGATATTCTTGTTGACTTGGAACGTAATTGAAAGAATTCCCTCTTCTCTGCAACCATTTGGCGTAGAGTGTGACTTATGAAAAGTATATAGGATGCTTTGTTTAACGTTATCATCCGAAATAGCTTCTTTTTTGTCGCAATGATAATTTTAATTGCGTTAAAGACGATGCAGAAATCACGTCGGACAATTTTTTTTTTTTTTTTTTTTTTCCTTTTAGATAATGAAACCCGTGAGAGAGTGTTATACATTTCCATGTCGTGAAGCAAAATACGACTGTGTTTAACGTTCCACATTCTCGTGTTATGAAAGTTTATTGAATTTTGGATTAGGATTTTATTAGCGAGTCCATATTTATCTTTCCCACACAGCAGTCGGTAAATTCATACATTTAGATTCGAGATGTTTCCTTTGGGCGTATTTTTTAGATCGAACGAGTAGATGCGATAAAAAGAAAAAGATGAAATCCTTGATGCGATAGCTCCAGTATAACGCAAGAAACAGCTGTTGCGTCTATACGTCGTCGTAAAGGCACAGTCGATAGCCTTGGAAAGCAGCGGTTTCATATTTATTTTAGGCGTCTTTTAGTTCTCGTAAATTCACGTTTCTATTCCGTCTCCGGCTCGCGTATAATAACCACGTCTTCGTAGTGTTTTTTTTTCTCTTTCTCTCCCTCTCTCTTTTTTTTTATCACCGGATTAATTAGGCGCAGCGCGTTCCTTTCAATCGGTCGAGGTATCCGAGCGACAGCGTCGTCGTCTTCAAACATTGCGCAGAAAAGAACGAAACATCGAGCGTGATAACGTCGAATCGACCATCCTTGTGTATCTTAGGGTGATACTAGTAGACACAGTTGGCATTGTCAAGTGAGCTGTGACAAACTCATTGAAATCGGGACCTTGTATTCCAGGAACAGCAAGGACTTACAAAAAAGAAAAGGATATAAGTAAAGACAGTCGCACTAAGTTAGAGCACCCACAGAGCACGAGGTGCGAGATGTGCGGCAAGAGCGTGACCAACATTAAAAAGCACATGAAATCGCACTTTCCCGAAAAGTACCAATGCGAAATCTGCATGATATCGTTGACCAGGTCCGACAATCTCAAAAGGCACATGAAATTGAAACACTCGTCTTTGGTGCCGATCGTGCGCATTCAGCACAAGCACATCGTAGCGAAAGCGAAGTCGGGCTACTTTGCCTAACGGCGGCCGACTCGAGTCGCACGTCACACGCAACGTGCGCTACGTGCAAACTAACGCAAACCGCGGGTCGCAAAGGGTGTCCCCGCTGAATTCTCTGGATTCCACTCATTCTCGGATGATCCGTCGTCCACGGATGCTTGGATCCTCCGATTCCCCGCGGATCTCTCGGGTACATAATTTATTATTTATCGTAATATGGTGTAAGTCTGGTGGAATTTGCGCGCGCGAGCGCGAGCGAGCGCACGTACTTGCTGAGGGAAAGAATGCTGGCCGTTGAGCGTTGAGAGTGATTGAGGAAAAAAGGTGCACCACATCGTTCGCGATGTCGTCCAGCGCGCGCATGCACGAAGGACCTTCCACCTTCGACCTTCGTCGCGCCGTGCGATTAATCGCGTCGTAGAACGGTGTACGCTGTGCTGCGCGCGCGTCTTTTTCCGTACACAACCATAATAATATTTATGCAGATCTATTTATTCCCTCGTGCGCTTATAGACTCTAATATTTAACTCTAACGAGTAAGACGCGGAGCCCGTTCTTCCGTCGCGAAGGAGCCGGGGCCTGCCCTTTAGGTTTACATTGGTAAGCGGACTTTACGTCGAATCAAGCGGCTGGAGATCTCAGTGAAAGTAATTTGAGTACAAAACTTTATTCGTGTTCTACCTCCCCGTCGATGGTCCGGTACGCGTAGAGAGAGAGAGAGAGAGAGAGAGAGAGAGAGAGAGAGAGAGAAAGAGAGAGAGAGAAAGAATACCGAGAGATCTGAATATATACGGAAGTATGAATTTTAACGTTCCTCCAAGATTACGGACCGTCTGCCGTGATCTCGTAATCGTCACCTCCGTCATGCCACGGAATCCTCGAGTCACGCCGGCTGGCCAAGGCCTCGCCGGATTTCCGGATTCACGGCTTTTCGGACATTAGTATTTTTCGGCGATCGTCTGCAAGCATAGCAAGCAGGTTAATATTTATAGTATATATATATACATATATATATATATATATATATCGAGAAGTAATTTAATGAATACACGTATCGCGCGAAAACTTTTGCACCACTCTTATCTCGAAAATCTCATTTGACGAGGGAATCGTGAGTTTAATGATTAAATTGCGCGTTCATTAATCGATTAAGAGGTACGTTGAGAAAATAAGATATTTTGTAAGTATGAAATGCGAAGATATATATATATATACATATATAAAAAATATATATATATATATATTCTTTTTTGTACACGCATAGATCCTCTCTGCGATCTTGCAATTTCTCAATCGATACGCGGTCAATCGTCCACACTGGTGGCTGGCTAATGGTGCAAAACGTTTTCTTGTCTCTCCCGCGATGCGTGCATATAATATATATTTTATATTTATACGTCGTAGAGAGGTTGTGAATCATATTCGAAGACTGATCTCTGCGAGCCGCCGCGGCTCGCTCAAAAATAGTCATAATAAACTAGTCCCGCAGGCTCATAGGCTACCGTGAGAGAGAAAGAGAAAGAGAGAGAAAGAGAAAAAGAACGAAAGAAAGATCCAAGGAAAGAAGGTAGAGGAAATAGGCTTTTTACGAGCTCACTTATGGTGCCTTTTGCTTAAAAGTACAATGATAATATCAGTAATCGATAATAATCAGTAAATGATAATAATCGTTCGTATTAAGAGCAACGAATACCTCCCTTAGGCAGTGCATGGTCACACGTTCATAGCCCTTTACGTCGTTACGCGATACGCAATTACACGTACATCCCCTTTCTCCCCGTCACCGACGTTTCTATCCGCATCCGTTGTACTCGACGGACGCCCGCGTCTCCGCGAGAGGAATGGCGTCGAGCCAGTTTTTTACCTACGTTCTTTCTCTATTTGCAGATGTGACACTTTTAGCTCTTCGAGCCATTGAATTCGCGCCAATATCGGACGTAGATCGAGTAAATATGTCGTAGTTTTTCGGAAAGGGGCATCGTGCGGCACGTCGCCGGACGGGACGATACATTCGTCGTCTGCGTTCTCCCTCGCGTTTTGAGAGTTTAAGTCGTTAAGATCGTCGTTCTCCTTCGTCGGCCCATCTTCCCTCGCGCAACGATTATCCCGAAGCCAACTCGATTATAGATCGCCGCGTTATCTTAATCGGAATCGGAAACTTTACTCTAGTCGAAACCGCGAGAGGGGATTACCGCGTAGAATTAAGATGAGTTGTACACAGCTCCGCAGGATTAGATGTAATAAGGTCGCCCTCACACTCGTGTGACACCCTCCAACTATCGAGAGCTCTTTCAGCCCCTCTCTCTTTCTCGTCGTCGTTGTCGCTCTATCGTCCTCTCCGTCGTCGTCGCTCTATCGTCCTCTCCGTCGTCGTCGCTCTATCGTCCTCTCCGTCGTCGTCGTCGTCGTCGTCGTCGTCGTCGTCGTCGTCGTCGTCGTCGTCGTCATTGTCATGACTGCTCGAAGGAATTCCACCGCGATTTTTCGCGACATTCCCGCGCCCGACGAACTTTTGCTATCTGTTCGTTCGCACAAAGCGACGCCGCGGTTTCACGGGAATGCGCCGACGTTTGTTCCTTCTCTCGCTGTCCACACTCACGCACGCATTACGCAACGAAAGCGTCGTCTCGTTTCTCCCCCCGTACACGTGCTTTCTCCCTCTCCCTCTCTTTCTCCCCAGGCGGATGTGTTCTGGCAACGTTATGGTTTCCGGAACCTGCAAAAAATGGACAACTCTCACGAGCGAACTCTCGGGAGTGCTGGAGTCTCCACTTATATCTCACCGCCGGGCCACTTACTTCGATTGTGAACAGTGGCCGCAAAATATGACACACGGGAACATCGTACGTTGCTTTCATTTTTGCCCTCCTACCAACGTCTTCGCGCATTTTCCACCTTCCCCTTGGCGGCTGCGCGACGGTTCTTGGACCTCGTTCTCTTGGCTCTTGTCATTTCCGCTACTTAGAAAGCACCGGCTACTTCTCGTGTCGTGATGCATTTCACGAACGCATCAGACTTCGCGCTCGTGGAGTCTCTTCGTGCCAGTCCCGAGACGCTTGCAATTTCGATTTCCGAGATCCCTTTTCCCAGTTGGCGGCCGCTAACCGCCCCCGACCTACCAGCCGTCTTCTTCCCCGTGAAGCACGAGCGTAAACGGTAAACATTTTTCACGAGATAAAGCCGCGCACAATAGTGCTTCCGCATCGGTTGCGACCGAACGATACGTAATAAAAATCGCAGGTATTTGGAGAGCCGCACAGCTCCGTCAATTTTACGAGTATCGACTATCCTCGTCGCGTCGTGGTAGTCGCACGGAAACCGCCGTCCAGTATCTCTTGCGCCAAATAATAACAACGAGGCGCATCGCGTTCGAGAGACTATTCTTTTCAATTAACACTCCAATCGTGCCTCGTCTCTCTCTTGGGGACGGATTCCTTCGGGTGTGAATCACCAAAGAGAGTTCTCGCGAGCGAGCGATCCTCGCTGGCTCCGAGCTCGGATTTTCAAATTTCCGCCTCGCAAACTTCGCCTCGCCGCCGTGATGGCGAGGCGAAGTAGCAACATGTAGTCGCGAGTCATTCCGAATTCATTTGGATCCGGTAATATTAACGTCGCGGGATCGTCGGACGCTGCTGCGTCGTCATGTCTCTTCACGCCCGGAGGCTGAGCCAAATGCACCCGGTGTCGTAATTTTGCGACCTTTAACGGCGGGAAACCGTTCCGTTTGTGCGTCTCTTCGTCCGGTGTGGTGAAACGATGCATTAGCAGGCCGAGCTCGGCAGGGCCCAAATGGAAATTAGTATCGCGCGACTTTCCCCGCGCCCCGCGCCGCCCCGCACTCGCGCGCGCGCCGCACGGTTAAAGGGCTCTCGGCACGGCCGTGCGATAAAAAGCTCAACAGCATTTTGCATCCCCCTACAATAGCTCGGTCCATCGATCCGCCGTTGCATCTAATTATACAGCCCGCCCTTCATTACCCTAATTACTCTCGCAACACGCTGTCTTCTGCCCTCGATTCCATCGATCCGCGCTCCCCGATCGCGCTTTGTGGCTCTTCGATCGAGCGAATGGGGGAGGGGGGGGGGAGGAATCGCGCTCGTGTATATTTTTATCAATTTTTATAAACGGTCAGTGCATTGTCGCGAAGGTCGTGTCCTCTTCCGCTTGTCCTTCTCGCCCTGCGCCCTGCGCAATAATAATCGCGCCGATGATTCTTACGCGAACGCCGTCGCATCTTCACGAAGTGAAGCGAACTCGGAGGCAGCTGCGCGCTCCACCACGTCGCTCTCATAATTCCCGCGCTCGGGCGAGTCGCGCGAGCGATTAATTAAAATGTCACGGGGTATTACTTTCGTTCCGATCGGCGTGCTCGCCGCGAGAGCACGTAGCTTATCGGTCTTCTCTCCTCTCTCGGGCCTCTTTTTCCGGCGCGAGTGTTCTCATTGCGACGCGCGACTCGCGAGCTTGCGCGTCCTCCGTCCTCTAATCGGTTTTTCTTTCGACAGCGTCCCGCTTGTCTTCCTCAGGTTAAGCGCCTCTCTCCGGCCCGCTCTCTTCCTTACCTTCGAGCTGTCGCTCGTTCGCTCCCGTAATTCCTTGATCCAACTGTCGCCTCTAAAATCGCTACTCCAAGGCCGATACTTATTCGTCAATCGATCCCCCCCCCCCCCTGTCGAACAAAGCGGCGTCTCCCGACGAAATGACACACACACACATTCTAGCTTTCTTTGCCCCCGAGACGCATCGACTTGTTTAATATTCTCATGCGCGAACGGCGACGGGCGACGAGCGAGCGCGCGATACTCTGTTCAAGGAGCGACGAGGTCCTTTCTCGAGCGATAAGCTCCTTACCGGCATATCTTCTCGCCCTTATTACACACGAACGCGCGTCTCGCGGTCGAACGGATGTGGCGACGGTTTTCAGGATGAGGAATAGCAGGAAGAGGGTGATGGCGGCGGTGGTGGCGGTGTCCTCCAATAAGAGGATCACCGGGTAGAAAGAGACGCGCGCACCCCGCGCCGCCTGCCGCAAAGAGTTTCGTTTCTCGAGCACATGACAAGAGGCTTTCGTCTTTCGCGCTCGTGCCCGCTTACTTTAAACTTGGTGGCTTAGCCAATGGAGGAGAAAACCGGTGCCGTTGCTGGCTTCCGCCGATACGTCCTCGAGAGCTCACTCGAAGCGGCAGAAACTTGGTCTGTGCCGTGATCTCTGCCGCTGCGAAACTCTGCGGATCGCATCGACCCATTAGCCACTTACCCGTGAGATTTTTTCTTCTTTTTTTTGCGCGACCAAGCCTGGACACCAAGCCTTCCGCGCAATCCGAGCGAGCGAACGAGCGAGCGAGCGAGCGAGCGACCCAAGTTTTTTACAGTCAAATCTCAACCGCGTATTTCTCTATCAATGAGAGAGAGAGGGAGAGAGAGAGAGAGAGAGAGAGAGAGAGAGAGAGAGAGAGAGAGAGAGAGAGAGAGAGAGAGAGAGAGAGAGAGAGAGAGAGAGAGAGAGAGAGAGAGAGAGAGAGAGAGAGAGAGAGAAAACTTGACTTTACTCGACTCGGATTTGCGCGCAGAGAAGGTCGCTTCTCCGTGCGTTTACCTCGTGCAAATTGTCCAATGTGGACTGAGACCATTGGGAGATGTTGCGGTTTTCCCCTCCCGCACGTTTCCCTTCGCGGAAGATTCGCTCGATGGTCGTTTCCTCTCTCGGCTCGTTCTATTCGCACGCACAGTGTGAGAT